GGGGGTCACTAGCAGTCACTGGGGGTCACTAGCAGTCACTGGGGTCACTAGCAGTCACTGGGGTCACTAGCAATCACTGGGGTCACTGGCAGTCCCTGGGGTCACTAGCAGTCACTGGGGGTCACTAGCAGTCACTGTGGTCACTAGCAGTGACTGGGGTCACTAGACATTTTGTTCTCTGGTGTATTATGGGTTATTTGTCACTACTCTGGTATTTGACACTACTCTGGTATTTGACACTACTCTGGTATTTGTCACTACTCTGGTATTTGACACTACTCTGGTATTTGACACTACTCTGGTATTTGACACTACTCTGGTATTTGACACTACTCTGGTATTTGTCACTACTCTGGTATTTGTCACTACTCTGGTATTTGACACTACTCTGGTATTTGACACTACTCTGGTATTTGTCACTACTCTGGTATTTGACACTACTCTGGTATTTGACACTACTCTGGTATTTGACACTACTCTGGTATTTGTCACTACTCTGGTATTTGACACTACTCTGGTATTCAAGTTTATTTCCACTAAAATTAGTTATGGTTCCGTCCCCGTTATTTGTTCTGGCAGTTCCGCTCCTTGGCTCTCACTTCTTCATTTATTCTTCACGATTTAGCAGTTGTTATCGCGACAGTTTTATTGTGCTGATAACTCTTGGGAGGAGACCTTCAGGTGGAGGAGAGATAGTTCTCTTATTGGCTGGAGAAACTGTTTGGTGAAGGGGCTGGATGGTAGAGCAACGATCACCCTTCATGCAGGTCGGCGTTCAATCCCCGACCATCAAGTGGTTTAGCAGCATTTTTTCCCCCTGTTCCATCCCAAATCCTTATCCTGACCCCTTCCCAGTGCTACATAGTCGTAATGAATTTGTGCTTTTTTCCTGATAGTTTCCTTCCCTTGATGGAGTATTTCACAGCATAATAATGATATAACAGGGGGGAGGGGTAGGGGTGGGGGAGTACAAGAAGGAACAGAGCACATGGCCGTGCTGGGTACAACTAGTGGAAGCTGTGTGTGGAGTGGGCAGTACCAGGTGACGCTGAGCTCAGTGTTACCGTGATGGTGAAGGTGATGTCTACAGTTCTCTTATTTCAATGACAATGGGCAGAGTTTCTTTCACCCTGATGCCCCTGTTACCTAGCAGTAAATAGGTACCTGGGAGTTAGTCAGCTGTCACAGGCTGCTTCCTGGGGGGTGGAGGCCTGGTCGAGGACCGGGCCGCGGGGACACTAAAGCCCCCCATAAATCATCACACGATAACCTCAAGACACAGACACAGGAGCGTCCGTAGAGAGGAAGGTGGTGTGTCGTGTCAAGATCTCCCACACCATCGGTGGCGGCATAAAACTTTCCATAAATCATCACAAAACCACCTTGTCTCAAAAATTATGTTTAGGATAAAGTGAAAGTTTAGGTAAACTCCACCAGTTTACTGGGGTGGCCTTATATACATGACACTGCTCTATGTACAATACGTTATTCACACATTCACAACGAGTAACAAAATGAATCCCCGCACAGTTCCAGCAGGTAAGTGTCGCTACGTCACACTCGCCTAACAATAGTGGCGCAAAAGATGTCAGACATCTGCAGGAGCTGAAGGAGGCGTTTGAGCAGAGTTCCGTGCTGCGTTTCACTTACGAGATGGAAAAGGAAGGGAAGCTGCCCTTTCTAGATGTAACAGTCATGGAAAAGAGTGGAGGTTTCCACACTGCAGTCTACACTAAGGAAACGAACATAGGAATGTGCCTAAATGCCAACAGCGACTGCCCAGACAGGTACAAGAGGAGTGTTGTTAACGCATATGTCGACCGTGCTCTCAGCCACAGCTCAGAATGGAAGCAAGTCGACGAAGAACTCTGTAGGGTAAGGCAGGTCCTAGTCAACAACGGCTTCTCCAATGGTTTCGTCGAAGGCATCATAAGAAGGAAAGTGAAACGCCATGCAACCTCTGAAGAGACAACTAACACAACAACTATACCCCCTATTAGACTATTTTACAGGAACTTCTTTTCCACAGCTCATAAAACGGAGGAAAGGGTCCTGAAAGATATTGTTAATAGAAACGTTATCCCTACAGACAAAAATCAGAGGATACAACTGACGATTTACTATAAAACCAGAAAAACGGCCAGCCTATTCATGAGACACTCTCCAGACACAAAGCAGAACGCTTTAAAAGAGACCAACGTCGTCTATGCCTTCAAATGCCCTCTTGGGGATTGTAAGGTCCAAAAAACCCAGTATATAGGCAAGACAACATCTCTTTCTAGGCGTTTAACGATGCATAAGCAACAGGGCTCCATTAAGGAACATATAATCTCTTCCCACAACCAAACCATCGCCAGAGAAATCCTAGTAAACAACACAGAAACCATCGATAGATACAGCGATAGCAGACGGCTTGACGTTTGCGAGGCACTACACATTAAGAAGTCAACACCAGCAATCAACAGCCAATTAATGCACAACTATATTCTACCCACCTCAAGACTCCGCTCCAATATAGAAGCATCAAGAAATATGGACCAATAGGCTTTCTACAATCACTTCTATTCAATACCCATTGTTTCGTGTTCTGTCTTGTGTTGATGAATTTAATACCCTATTAAATACCACCTCACCCCATCCACCTCACTCAAATGTAGATATAAACAAATCAGAGATGTGTAAGTTCTATTCAGTTGTGTATGTGTAAACTAAAGTCTTTGAAAATGTAATAAGTTTTACGAAACGCGCTCAAGTGTCGCGTCAGACTAGAAATAAAAATGAATTTTGGAGAATTGATTTTTGAATTACCACCAGCAGTGAAAAGAAATGTACGAAAGATTGAGAAAATTCGTGTTAGAATTATTAATCTTACTTTTTCGGTAAGATATATATATGTCGTACCTAATAGCCAGAACGCACTTCTATGCCTACTATGCAAGGCCCAATTTGCCTAATAAGCCAAGTTTTCATGAATTAGTTGTTTTTCGACTACCTAACCTACCTAACCTAACCTAACCTAACTTTTTCGGCTACCTAACCTAACCTAACCTATAAAGATAGGTTAGGTTAGGTTAGGTAGGGTTGGTTAGGTTCTGTCATATATCTACGTTAATTTTAACTCCAATAAAAAAAAATTGACCTCATACGTAATGAAATGGGTAGCTTTATCATTTGATAAGAAAAAAATTAGAGAAAATATATTAATTCAGGAAAACTTGGCTTATTAGGCAAATCGGGCCTTGAATAGTAGGCTGAGAAGTGCGTTCTGGCTACTAGGTACGACATATATATATATATATATATATATATATATATATATATATATATATATATATATATATATATATATATATATATATATATATATATATATATATATATACTCAACAAGACTACACACACACAGGGGAGGGGGACGGGGGGGGGGGAAGAGATGCACGCCGGCTGGTGTAAACAAGCAGTTAAGAAACTCTAACAATAAATCATAATATAACATAATCACAAATAATATTATACAGTAACACTCAGGAACATGAATAAGTGTGAATAAGGACATTTTAATATGAATGGCCACGAGTTAAATATAATGGAAATAATGGTAGAGTGACAGTGGGTAATGACCACGGCGTATGGAGTCGTAACTGGGATACGGCGGGTCATCACCTGCTGGAAAAAGGGTACATTGTTAGCCATGATGGTGTCCAAGCTGGGTAGTTCATTCATTTATCAAAGGTTAATGGTCCTTGTCAATTGACGATTACTTAATTGGATAATAAACCTGTTTTTAAAGTAATTCTCTTGTTTTCATTCTCAAAGGAATTTATTTAATATCCTTAAGATCTTGATACCGACATATTTTCATGTGATTTTTTTCAATAATAAATCTTTTGGAAAAATATTGGTCCAAGTGAGAACCTGAAACAAACATAAAATCATATTTCATATGTAATCAGTTTAGTGTTTTAGTGCGAAATAATATTATATTATAAAAGTGACATACAGTACAACAATGTTTAAATGAATTATAACTTTGTCCAATGATGCATAACACAACACAAAGTTAACACTAAGAACAGAATTATACAACGAGAAGCGAACTTCACTTTTCGGTTTATATAAATTGAACTTTATATTTAGTCTTGAGCAATGTTGAGGACTGAGGCTTACATGTCTGGGTGGTCAATAAGATATTATCTTGATATTATTATCCATCCAAACAATGACGGACCTTAACACTAATATAAAACGAAAATTAAAATAAAGAAGCTGAGCAAAGAGAACTTACTCCCACAAATTATTCTGTGCCAAAACTTAGGTGGACGCCAGCAACGAAAGAACAATTTGTCAACACCAGGAAAAAGTTAAGCAACAATTTTCTGGGAGCAAAGAAGTGTAGGAAAAATTTGTGCGACATTTGTTTCATAAATTTCCTTTTGACGTATATTTTCCGGGAACAATTTCAATAATGGTTTTGCAAATCATCTTGAAATATCTCGCTCTGAGCCTGCACATGTGTATTCACCTAGTTGGTCTTGCGGGGGTTGAGCTCTGCTCTTTGGGCCCGCCTCTCAACTGTTAATCAATCAACTGTTACTAACTACTAAATAATGTTTTTTTTCACACACATACCCAGGAAGAAGCTCTATAACAGATGTCTAACTCCTAGGAACCTATTTATTGCTAGGTAACAAGGGCATCAGGGTGAAAGAAACTTTGCATATTTGTTTCAGCCTGGTCCGGGAATCGAACCCGGGCAACAGAATTACGAGTCCTGCGCGCTGTCTGCTCAGCTACCAGACCCTCATCCACTGTGTACTCACCTAATTGTGCTTGCGGGGGTTGAGCTTTGCATCTTTGGTCCCGCCTCTCAACTGTCAATCAACTGATGTACAGATTCCTGAGCCTACTGGGCTCTATCATATCTACATTTGAAACTGTGTATGGAGTCAGCCTCCACCACATCACTGCCTAATGCATTCCATTTATTAACTACTCTGACACTGAAAAAATTCTTTCTAACGTCTCTGTGACTCATCTGGGTACTGAGTTTACACCTGTGTCCCCTTGTTCGTGTTCCCCCCGCGCTAAAGAGTTTGTCTTTGTCCACCCTGACAATTTGCCTGAGAAATTTGTAGGTGGTCATCATGTCTCCCTTTCTCTTCTGTTTTCCAGGGACGTGAGGTTCAGCTCCGTCAGCCTTTCCTCGTAGCTCATACCTCTCAGTTCCGGGACAAGTCTGGTGGCATACCGCTGAATCTTCTCTAAGTTTGTCTTGTGTTTAACTAGATACGGACTCCAGACAGGAGTTGCATATTCCAGGATTGGTCTTACATAAGTGGTATACAGGGCCCTGAACGATTCCTTACACAAGTTTCTAAAGGCAGTTTTTATGTTGGCCAATCTAGCATATGCCGCTGATGATATCCTTTTGATGTGGGCCTCTTGGGACAGGTTCGGTATGGTTACAACCCCCAGATCTTTCTCTCTATTTGACTTGACTGTGTGTGAGTGTGC